AAAAATATTTTAAGAAAAATAAGCAAGCAAAGTATCTATGTAAAATTTTGCTCAAAAATATTTTTCAACAAAATATACAATTAAATATATTATTTTGAATCAAATTGGAGTTACTATTAAAATGGTTCAATTTAATTGAGAACTAAATATAGACAAAAATGTATTTTTGTAAGATAGACAATTAAATATATGTTTTAAATTAAATCGAATTTGCTTTTAAAAAATTTCATTTCAAATTAAATGTCAACTGATGTTAGACACGCAAAAATAAAATACTATATTCGTAATAATTGATAAAAAAAATTCTAAATCTGATATTCACATCCATGAATCCTATATTTTCACTCATATACTTGGATAGTATTAAATTTTAAATATGTTTTCAATCATAATTTCTCCCTTTTATAAAAAGACAACATTTGGATGCATAATTATGTCCTTGGACATAGAATGAAAGATCTCACAAAAATTTATTTACCAAAATTTAGCAATTTCTACTTTTGCAATAGAGATTTATTCATTTATTAGGAATAGAGTAAATTTTATTTTGTTTGACAGCAATGTGTCAGTTAGTAGATCTTTTAAGTAGACAAAATTGTAATTTAAGTACCCACCTAATATTTAGGAATATGAAATCAACTAAAATTTGCTTATTAAATCATTCCTTATTTGAATCATAATTTCATTAATATTTAAGAATAGTCTTAATTATTTTCTAATATTTAGGACATCCAAATCAACTAAATATTATGTATTAATATTTTTCTTATTTGAACTATGTAATTACCATATTTGTTAAAGAAAAATAAGTACTACATAACTCAAGAAAATCACGTTTTAAGTTTATTCGGAGTTTTTTTATTTGTTCTTAGGCTCATACACAACGAAAACCCTGCGGCTGTCCTCCTGTAAAGCACGCAACATATTTTTGACTATTTCCATACCTAAGGTTGAGGTTTAAGCTTTTCTTTCTTTCTCCTTTTTTTCCCTTTTTTTTACGTTAGTTTATTTTTCTATGTGGTTATTTAATTTTATGTGGTTGTTATTAATTTTACTGGTAAATTAGTGTGGATCTGANAAAAACAAACATCATGTGTCAGTTAGTAGATCTTTTTTTTCCTTTTTGCAATTAAACTTAAAATATCTGTGTACCAAAAAAATAAAAATAAAATAAGAAGAAACATTCTTGTTGAAACTAAACAGGAAATATTATAATTTGTAAAATTAAAGTTCAAATTATAAAACTGGAATAAATTTTAAGTCAAACAAACTGATTGAGATGATTAAAAGCATTTGTAAATGGAGTTTCTTCCTTGGCTTAGCTAAATAAGAACAACAACCATCATTTTGATGAACTTATAAAATTTTAACTTTTATTTTATAATAACTCAAATACGATTTTTGATATTACATTTAGGCATTTATTTTACAAAATTTATACTTATGGAAACGAGGTACACACGCAACGCGCGTACGATAAAACTAGTACTATATAAAAGCACGAAAGCCTTTAGCGAAATGTCGTTTGCCTTTTTTAACCTTTAAATTTATATTTCACATTTCACATTGGACAAAATTATAATTTTAGTTTTTTCCGAATATTTAGAAGTTTTAAATCAACTACAATATTATGTATTAAATTTTTCCTTATTTGAACTACTCCTAATAATTGGGAGTTTAAAATCAATTAGGACTTATCTTATATAAATTACTTCGTTGCTTGAACCACAAAATTACTAATCTCTGTGTATATATAAAGGAATAGTCGGACAGAATTTCCTCATGGCCTTCATGTACCCTAAAGTAAAAGAACCGCCAATGTAAGTAACTTTTTACACCTCTTTTTATTTTTTATTTTCGTTTTATCAAACACTACGTCTTATAACTTTAATCTGGTATAATACTCGAATGTGTATCCGGTTTTCTGTCTTGTTCTTCGATATTCTCCAGCTATTTGTATGTTTTAGTTTTTGATTTTATACACAACAATACTTTCAAAAGGTTAAGAAAAATTAATGATGATAGATAAGATTCCGTTTGAGTTCACTTAATTGACATATTAATATCCGTGAATTGAGATGAAAAGGCAAGTCTTTATTAGAGCTGTCAATATGGGCGGGGCCGGGCTAGCCCAGCCCAGCCCAGCCCACGTGGGCTTTAGCAATTGACGGACTGGGCTGGGCTAGCTCATCATTTTGATGGGCCTTATAATGGTCAGCCCACCCCGGCCTTACGTGGGCTGCGGACCCCCACGGGCCGGCCCCTCATTTTTTTTTAAAATATAATTTTATATTTTTCTTTAATTTCTAACAAAAAAAAACAGATAAATATTTAAAACATAAAAAAAATTATTGAAAAAATTTCACAAAACTTAATAACTTTTGGGGCATTTGCATCTATACCCGCTTTTTTGGTCACGTTTTAACTTGTGCCCGCTTTGCAAAAAAAAAATTGCAAGCGTACCCACTTTTCGCGTAACTTCAGCATACGGGGCTGAAATAGCAAAAGCAATCATACAAAACTTCAACATTCTAGTAGACGGGACTGAAGTAGCAAGTGTGTTGAACCAATTGTGCTGAAGTTTTTGCTGAACTTAAGCATAGTAGCTGAAGTTGTTTTTGTTTGTAATTGCTGAAGTTTTTGTTTTTGTAACTGGCGAACTTCAACTCTAGAACTGAAGTTTTTGTTTTGTAACTGGCGAACTTCAGCTCTAGAGCTGAAGTTTTTGTTTTTGTAACTGGTGAACTTCAGCTATAGAGCTGAAGTTTTTGTTTTGTAACTGGCGAACTTCAACTATAGAGCTGAAGTTTTTGTTTGTAACTGGCGAACTTCAGGTCTAGAGCTGAAGTTTTTGTTTGTAACTGGAGCTGAAGTTTTAGTTTTGTAACTGGCGAACTTTAGCTCTAGAGCTGAAGTTTTTGTTTTTGTAACTGGTAAACTTCAGCTCTAGAGCTGAAGTTTTTGTTTTGTAACTGTCGAACTTCAGCTCTAGAGCTGAAGTTTTTGTTTTTGTAACTGGTTTGTAACTGGCGAACTTCAGCTCTAGAGCTGAAGTTTTTATTTGTAACTGGCGAACTTCAGCTCTAGAGCTGAAGTTTTAATTTTGTAACTGGCGAATTTCAGCTCTAGAGCTGAAGTTTTTGTTTTTGTAACTGGTAAACTTCAGCTCTAGAGCTGAAGTTTTTGTTTTGTAACTGTCGAACTTCAGCTCTAGAGCTGAAGTTTTTGTTTTTTTAACTGGCGAACTTCAGCTCTAGAGCTGAAGTTTTACTGAAAAGAAAGAATTGTCATCATTGTGTTATAATACTTCGCGTTCAAATATACAAGCTTCATTATAAGTTTCTACGTACTGTTCTTAATTAGAACCCTGAACCTTGATAGATTAAGTTTGCTAAAGGATAATACTAACTCTATATTTACTACGTCGCCGTCAACCTTAAGTATATGCAACACATATACTGGATAAAGAGAGGAGATGGATCGAAACTTGGTTTTCTTCTTAGCATTAGCAGGGAGACGAGTACTCTCTTCTTCCATGTCAATTACTGGAACATTTTCACAATCAGCGACGAGGAGGAGAAGGAGGAGGAGAAAAGGGCCTGAAGTTGTTTAAAAAGTGGGTACAAGTTAAAACTTTTTAAAAAAATGGGCATAGGTTAAATGGGGGCGACCAAATAGGGCGCCCCATGCAATTTTTACATAACTTTTTATATTATTCCAATATATTACAATAAACACTAAAAAAGTAAAAGACAAGACCATTTCATTCACTAAAAGTCAAAACTCAAAGCAAACTATTCAAGAGAACGTCCATGACGCTTATGGGATATCCAACACATGATTNTAATAAGAGATAATGTGCTTATTATATTTTCAATTCTAGATTATTTAATAAAATACCTACAATGAAAGACTAAAATTTAAAACTAACGTTTTGTTCCATTTTAAACTTGATCTTTATAAGCAAAAAAGATAATCTGAAGTCCCTCCAAATTAATGTTAATTATTATATAAAAAATATGCTTCATTTAATTACTTTTATAATTTTTAGAAGTTTAAAAATTAATAAAACTTTTATTTAATAATTTTTTATTATTTGGACTAAAATTTCTAATACTTAGAACTTAAAAATATTAAAATTTTACTTTATATTGATCATTCACTTAAATTATGCGAGATGCCTTATGCACCGGACTACCTTTTTCTTAATTCTGATTCTAAGTCATTCTCTGGAGTTATTATGTCATGGAAAAGTCTTCTTTCAATTATAAATTCTCTCACAAGCTTGCTTTAGTATCCTTTTAAATCTATTTTTTTTCATTGTTATTTAATTTGATTTTGTGATCATATGAAAGTTGTAGGTTATTAGTTGCCTGATTATATATTTTAAGTTATCATTCAGCACTATTTAGGTTTTTAAGGACTTGTTCTTGCTGAAACTGAAAAAGGAAGCATGATAACTTGTGAAATTAAAGTTATAAGGTTTTTAAGGACTTGTTCTTGCTGAAACTGAAAAAGAAAGCATGATAACTTGTGAAATTAAAGTTATAATACTATTAAACTGAAATAAATTTTAAGTTAGAATTATCGACTTATGATTGAGGATTTTTACGAGAGCTTCTTTATTTATTTAGTTATTATGCACATTTAACATATATAATTATCTTTAGGAACTTATACTTTTATTTTATTATTTAAGAACAAATTTTAAATAAATTAGTACTCTTTGAGATAGAATACACGCGCATCGCGCATACCTTAAGACTAGTACCACTAATAATATAGAAAATACTTATGTTGTCACTGAATCCAAAAAAAAGAAAAAATTGATATTGCGTTGCATAAAGTATGGTAAGAAAATAATCAAGCGCAAGGAATATATAAGTAAATCTCTACAGGAAAAAAAAAAAAAAAAGCAAAGGACCATCTTGACAAACAAGGAAATATGGGAAAGCAATTAAAGGATGGACCTTAGATTTTTAAATTTAGTGCTACTTTATTTTGCTTTAATTACCTAAGTAAAGAAGAGATCGCTAATAAACTCAAAATACTTTGCCGCTTCTCACCCAGAAAACAATGCAATGTTCTGAAGAAATTATTGCAGAGTTGTTTTACAATGTCTCCAGTTCCTTTCAACTCTTCCTCATTTTCTCTTACTTCACTTCCATTTTACTTGCCAAGCTTTTCTATTTTCTTGGTGGAAATCCATTTTTCTGGAGGTATATATTTACTACTACTTTAAATTTGCCCTCCTTTTCGTCTAATTTGAATTTTTCAATTTTCATATTTGGTGACGAAAATTTGTGGATTTTTGCAGGAATCGAGATAAGGGATATGAATTTTCTGAGTTTTCGGACGAAGAAAATGAATATTATCATAATGATGCTGAAAAAGGAGAGGAAAATCATTGTGTAGCAGACACATTTAGGGAAAGTGAAACATTGGTGTTCATGCCTAATGCAAATGCTCAAGAAAACCAGATTTTTAGCTATGCGGAACAGAGTACAAAAGAAAGTTGTAACACAGATGAAGGAAACTCAGTTTATGGTTCACCAGCTTCAGAATCTGTTCATAGTGATGATGATGAAGAGAAGATTCTCAATTCGGATTCTTATAATTGTGATTCTGAAACAAACGACATTAATCATGGTACGTATTATATTTAGTTTGGTCATCATATTAAAGAACAAAATGTGTTAATTTCTTGGCACTCAAAGCTTTAATTGCCCGCAAGGGTGGCTGAGTTGGTTGAGTGAGTGGTTTCCCACAAGAGAGCTGGGATTGATTCCGCTCACCAACAACCTCCTATCTCGCTCGTCGTACCTGGCCTACCCAGGGGCGGACGCAGAATTTTTCGTAAGCGGTGTCGCATTTAATGAAGTGAACAAATAGATAAATTATTGTCACGATACACATAAAAATAATACAAATTAGAATCTTATTAAAAAAAATGAATTAAAGTATAATACTACAATCCTCCTCGACAAGTTTTTATTTTTTAAAATGTATTCAGAATATTGTTGCTAGACATAATAGTAAATACTACCTTTTCTATATATAACACTAAGCAATCACTGAAAAACTCTTTCATTATTTGACTTCTCAATTTGGGTTTGGACCAACTTCATCTTCCCCCAAGAAAAAGATAGAAAGAAAAAAATAGTAAGAAAACTTACCGTGGAACATACTTGGAGGAAAAACAAGTTTTTTAGCAGAAAACGCTGAAAATCTTACTCAGCATGAAGCTGCTGAAGTTCGAACCCAGGACCTCTCCTAAAAAAAGAATCACCTGACCAGCAAAGCTAACGAGAAGTATATGTAAAGTTGTGTCCTTTTTGTTTATTTAATAAATATAATATTGGTACACATTAATAATTTACACATGTTTAGTGAATTTTTCCGGCGAAGCGGTATCGGATGACACCGCTTACACCAAGGTCCATCCGCCCCTGGGCCTACCTAGTATAATTTATATCTCGTGTGTAGTTTGCAAGCTATTGTACGGTAAGCAAGTTAGCCGAAGGGTAACAACTGCAGGTTTCCTTCAAATTTTCCAAATATTTAATTTCTTGCTTATGTGATACAGGAAAGTGTTATAGGGAAATCAAGAAAGACAAGAAAGTTAAGAAGAGTAATAAATTACTTTGTCGAGAGGAAAATTTCTTGGTTTATGCACCATCAAAGTTAGAGAGCAAGAAAATATTCCAATTCCAAGAAAAGGAGGATATTGATGAAATATATGGGGATTCTTATACTGTTGGTTCCACTTCTAAGAGCTCCTCTGAATGGAGAAACTCCATTAAAGACTCAGGCACTGATGATCCATTTTCTTCTTCTTCAAGAAGAAGTTGCCCCAAATGGGAGTCTTACACTATCTTCCAAAAATATGATGAAGAAATGTTGTTTTTAGATAAAATCAGCGTACAAAAACTCCATGAAACAGGTACGTAATATTTTACTTTACTCACTCTAATTTGTTTTTCTTTAAGAAATGATGAAGTCTAGACCACCTACGGTCAGTGGAGTACGCATGATTTTTCATAAGCGGTGTCACAATTTAAAGCGAACAAATAAATATACTACATAATGATAAACGGTGTCATTTTCTATATTTATCTCCAATATTTTCATTTTTCTTATACATATCTACTAAAAATTTGACGTAGCGATGTCCATGACACCATATAGGACAAGGTGTATATGCCCTTGCCTACGTCAACCTCATTATTTTACCGGATACCTATATTTGTGAGCGTTACTGTGTTAAAACACAAAATTAGAAAAAAATCTGTTAGAAGAATTAAAGAAATCTGGAAAATAGTAGAGAATCAGAAATATTCCGAGTCCACAAGTTTCTTGTGTGTCCTTAAGGAATTTTAACCCCCTCACAAGTTGCCAAGGTAATGGATTAAATCCTCCCAGGATAAAACGGAATAAACCTTCCTGCAACAGTGGCAATACAAACTGCAGGATCCCAGCGAACTCAAAGAACGGAGCAAAATCACACTTACGAATTGGAGAGAGAGAGACTGCGAATTAGGATGCAGTATATTCAAAAAGAAAGAAGTTCTGGAGTGTTTTTCGTGTGTAGAAAATGGAGCCTTGCCTCAGTATTTATAGGCAATTATCAGAAGAGGTGTCTGAAAAATGTGCTTTTTCAGAAGAATACGCTGCCTGCCGCGGTTCTACCGCGGTTACGGCTGAACCGCGGTCAGAGAGGCTCTCTGAATCTGACTGCCGCGGTTCTACCGCGGTTACGGCAGAACCGCGGCCAGAGAGTCCCTCTGAATCTTCTGGCGTAATTTCAGCAGTGATTTGGCATTTAATTAATTATCAAATAATTAAATAAATTTTGTCCAAAAATAATCTTATCGATCGATCATTTGACAAATCCAAATCCAAATCTGAAGCCGAAGCCGAAGCCGAGCCGAGCGAGCGACGAGGACGGCGCGAGGGTTCATTCTCTTCAACTCCTTTTAAGAGCTTTAAGAAGTGATTCTATATATAAGCACACAAATGTGATTGTCCCTCACCAATGAGGGACAAAGTGCAAGACAAAAGTTTACTTCTTCAAATTTTCATTTTTCCCTCCATTTTCCCTCCATTTCCAATTCACACTTCTTCTACTTTAAAGCCCAATGGCTTAAAGTCCAACAATCCCCCACATGAATGGGAATGGCTGTATCAAGAAAGATCATAGATGAAAGCTGTGTGATTTGCAAGTAAGGATTAATTGCATCTGGATAAGTAGGTTTTTTCCTTTGAACTTTCCGTAGTGAACATATGTCGGATATACTCGGTCAATCGGTAGATTTGATATCTTTGAACCGTCGAACTTTAGTGTATACCTAGACAACCATATGTCACACAATCAACCATTAACCGTCTTTTAGTTCTCATTGTTGTGTCCGTTTCAGCCATGAACACCGCCTGGTCTCATAAGTGCGTAGAGAATTGGCCTTACAGAATTCTCATTGAAGCGGCTTCCACTTCACACTTACATAGGTGATTCCTAAATGTAATCCTTTAGATTGACACTATTTGATAACTACCACATCAAACTTAGGTAATCATTAAAGAACGTGTAAAGTTCTATCCTTGTTACTGAACATTGTCTTCATCACGAGAATGGACCAAAGATTTTACTTTGACAATGTTGAACCGGTCAATCACAACTTTGTTTGAGCTCCTTGAACCTAGATCTCGGAACATCCAAAATTCTAGGTAGAGTTACCGCCATGTTGACTTGTCCTCGGCCATAGTCCCATTCCCTTAGATGATTTCTCAACTCTCTCTCTAGTTAAGCCTTTTGTAAGCGGATCCGCCACATTATCCTTTGATCTTACATAATCAATAGTGATAACTCCACTAGAAAGTAGTTGTCTAGCGGTGTTATGTCTTCGTCGTATATGACGAGACTTTCCATTATACATAATGCTCCCTGCCCGTCCTATTGCAGCCTCACTATCACAATGTATGCAAATAGGAGCCAAAGGTTTTGGCCAGAACGGAATGTCTTCTAAGAAATTTCGAAGCCATTCAGCTTCTTCATCGGCTTTATCCAAAGCTATAAACTCTGATTCAATTGTAGAGAGAGCGATGCACGTTTGTTTGGAAGACTTCCAAGATACTGCTCCTCTACCAACAGTAAAAACGTATCCACTTGTGGACTTTGTTTCTGTTGAGCCGGTTATCTAATTTGCATCACTATATCCTTCGATAACCGCAGGATATTTATTGTAGTGCAAAAATCTTGGGTATATTCCAAATATCCCAGAACTCATTTCATTGCTACCCAGTGATGTTTGTTGGGATTACTTGTGAATCGACTAAGTTTACTTATCGCACAAGCTATATCAGGTCGTGCACAGTTCATGATGTACATTAAGCTTCCCAACACACGAGCATACTCCAATTGAGACGTACTTTCACCTTTATAAGATGATGATTTAAGTCAATTGGAGTTCTTGCACTTCTAAATTCCAAATGTTTGAATTTTTCAAGTACCATTTTCACGTAATGTGATTGAGACAAAGCTAGACCCTAAGGAGTCCTCTTGATTTTAATTCCTAGAATTACATCGGCAACTCCTAAGTCTTTCATATCAAACTTACTAGCAAGCATGCGCTTAGTAGCTTGAATGTCGGCAATGTCTTTGCTCATTATTAGCATATCATCAACATATAAGCAAACAATGACTATATGATTTGGAATGTTCTTAATGTAAACACATTTATCACATTCATTAATCTTAAAGCCATTTGACAACATTGTTTGGTCAAATTTCGCATGCCATTGCTTGGGTGCTTGTTTTAGTCCATAAAGAGACTTAACAAGACGACACACCTTCTTTTCTTTTCCCGGAACCACAAACCCTTCAGGTTGGTCCATGTAGATTTCTTCCTCTAAATCACCATTTAAGAAGGCTGTTTTTACATCCATTTGATGGATTTGAAGATCATACAAGGCGGCTAATGCTATTAGCATCCGAATGGATGTATTTCTTGTTACCGGCGAGTATGTGTCAAAATAGTCAAGAACTTCTCGCTGTCTAAATCCTTTGACAACAAGTCTTGCCTTGTATTTGTCAATAGTACCATCGTCTTTCATTTTCTTCTTGAAAATCCATTTAGAACCCAATGTTTTATTACCTGGAGGAAGGTCAACCAATTCCCATGTATGGTTGCTCAATATGGATTCTATTTCACTATTGACCGCTTCTTTTCAATATTGTGCTTCTGATGATGACATTGCTTCCTTGAAGGTACGAGGTTCATTTTCTAACAGAAAAGTCAGAAAATCTGGACCGTATGAAGTAGATGTCCGTTGACGTTTACTTCTTCTCGGATTTTCCTCATTAGGCATACCATCTGTTATTTCCTCCCGAGGTCGTTTTGACTTTTGGTATGTCACTTCACTTTCCTTTTTATACGGATAAATAGTTTCAAAGAATTCAGCATTATCTGATTCTATTATCGTATTAACGTGAATCTCCGGATTTTCTGACTTATGAACCAGAAAACGATATGCCTTGCTATTGGTTACATATCCAATAAATACACAATCAACGTTTTTGGACCTATCTTAACCCTTTTAGGTTTAGGAACTAGTACCTTAGCTAGACATCCCCACACTTGAAGTATTTCAAGCTGGGCTCCCTTCCTTTCCACTTTTCATAAGGAATGGACTGTGTTTTACTATGAGGTACACGGTTGATTATTAGGTTAGCTGTAAGTATAGCTTCCCCCCACAAGTTTTGTGGTAAGCCAGAACTTATCAGCAATGCATTCATCATCTCCTTCAATGTTTGATTCTTTCTCTCCGCAATTCCGTTAGATTGTGGAGAGTAAGGGGCAGTTGTTTGGTGAATAATGCAATTTTTCAAACATATTTCTTCAAAAGGAGATTCATATTCGCCACCCCTTCTTATCATTTTGTTTTTTTTTGTTTAGTTGTGTTTCAACTTCACTCTAGTGTTGCTTGAAAGAATCAATTGCCTCATCTTTACTATTAAGTAAATAAACATAGCAATATCTCGTGCTATCGTCAATAAAAGTAATAAAATACTTTTTCCCACCGCGAGATGGTGTTGACTTCATGTCACAAATATCTGTGTGAATTAAGTCTAAAGGACTTGAATTCCTTTGAACGGACTATAAGGATGCTTAGCATACTTTGATTCCATACATATTTGACATTTGGAATTAATGCAATCAAATTTTGGCAATACTTCTAAATTTATCATCTTTCGTAATGTTTTGAAGTTGACGTGTCCTAAACGTGAATGCCATAAAGTGTTTGACTCAGGAGTAGAACGGTTTGACGAGGCAGCAGCACTCGTAACAGTAGCTCCCGTTCTCACAACATTTCCATTAGTTTGGTTTTCGTTCGTCATCTTTTCTGTAGAGTTGGAAACACAATAGAACTTTGTTAAATCAGTGAAGTTTTGATATCTTCAAACTGAATACCAAACCAAACATACAACACGTAACAATGGTGAAGTTTTTATATACTTCAAAACCCGTACGTTTATTATCCGGTAAAGTTTTTATATACTTTAAACCGGACAGAACAATTATTGGAGTAGAAAGCACGAAGGCTTTAGTCTCCAAAACAGTATACAAAATATGAATAACAGTTTAATATATGTTTCAACACAGAAACGTTAGTTTATAAATTCCTTAAGCTTGTGAGCGTTACTGTGTTAAACCAAAAATCAGACAAAACTGTTAGAAAAATAAAAGAAACTGGAAAAACAGAAGAGTTTAAGAAATATTCCGAGTCCACAATTTTCTTGTGTGTCCTTAAGGAATTTTAACCCCCTCACAAGTTGCCAAGGTAATGGATTAAATCCTCCCAGGATAAAACGGAATAAACCTTACTGCAACAGTGACAATACAAACTGCAGGATCCCAACGAACTCAAAGAACGGAGCAAAATCACACTTACGA